AGGTTCACCTTGAGGCATTTTCATAAAAGAGTTTAGCAAAAAAAACTGTTGATGTTGAAGCTCTCTTTGACTGTTCATGAAGTGCTAATTGAGCCAGTCGTGTCTTGCGTAGACATTAGCTTTCAAAAGTGAAGCAAGCTTTCATGGAAACCAAAGGAAGCTGAGTAGATATCAGCTGTACTGGCGTGAAACGCTGCACGATAAATGTGCGACAGATCTGATGCCATTTTTTAAAACTTGACAAACTCAGTCATTAATCTTCTCCGGTATTTATTGTTGCTTAGGCCTTCAAAATCTGTCGTCAGGTGGTTAAAGCTGCAATGCATTATTAAGTTTCTAAGCTGGTTGACTTGTTCTTATCGACTGTTACGRCTCTTTTACTACCTCACAATGTGCTGGCTTTAATCCCTCATGCCTCTGTAGCCCCCCATCAAAAATATTACCAAGATGGCCAGAGGTGTCGCTTAAAGACACCCGAGTGCAGAATGTAGTTGAAGATTGATTCAACAGTGTTTTTGTAGTCCACAGCAAGTCTTACTAGGCTCCTAGTCATATAGTTTAGAAGTTCCTGGCACAGCTTTATGCGCTTCCAAAGTGTGAGAAGAAAAAGCAATCTGCCCTTCATGTGTATTGTAACCAGCCCTGCAAAAACAGTGAAAATCATTCAAATTCTACTGTTGCTTTAAAGGGGACACATCATGCTTTAGCCCTTAAAGGCATTTTGTACTTGGAGTCTTTAGGAGTGCAGAAAAGTTTAATTTAGTCTCTACCGTTGTTGCGTAGATATCTTTAGATTCTGTTTGGGTAATATTTTTCAGTCAGTTCAGATTTTAGAACAATACCGTCACAGTATTAGCCGCAGAACTGTTATGCAAGGTCGTGGACTTTCGGCTAACCAATTTCACAAATCCACGGTTCTGCAAGTTTGTTGTCTTCATTCTCCTCTCGCTCTAAGCCTGAGCCCGGCCACCCTATGAAGAAAGCTCATTTCGGCTGCTTGTATCCAGGATCTTGTTCTTTCAGTCATGATCCACGACTCATGACCATAAGTGAGGGTTGGAACATAGAAAGTAAACTGAGAGCTTTGCTTTTGACTCAGCTCTTTCTTTACCACAACAGTCTGTTGATCCATCTCCCACTCCATCCTACCATCACTCGTGAACAAGACATTAAGATCCCTAAACTCTTCTACTTGCAACCCACTTTCAGTGGGTGGCATCCATATTTATTTAAGTAAACCCAGAATGCTGCATGTGATGTCACATCTTCTGCAAATGTGGGTTGCTTGAATGTCGCATTTGAATTAGAATGCAAATGACCATGCAAAATCAGATCTGAGCGAAAAATTCTCAGACGGGAGTTAAACCAGTTTCCCATAAACAGCTCCCTGACTCGTTTCAGTTTGTCCTTTCTATCAAACTCTGTAGATCATTAATAAAACATTATTGGCTCAGGGCTTCAAGCTTTGCTGTGGCCACTGTCTCACAACACCAACAACAAAAGACACCTACTGAGCTGCAGCACCATTTGATGCCCCGGGAATGAGAGCTTGTTGAAATGATGTAATGTTCAGTGATGAGACAGCTGTCAGAAAGATCAGTTTGTTTCTTAACGGGACTTTCTGTAGGAGACAATTTACATAAAAGGACAAACAGAATTGACTAAAATAAGCCAATTAATGTCATAAATCATATGTCATACCAACTATTGAGCCTTTGAAGTAGCTTTATCTGCACAAATTTGATGTAAGGCTGCATTGAGATGAAAAGTGTGTGTTTCAGTGTGAGCAAATGCAATAGTGAGTTTAACTGTGGTAGTTGTTTTGCACCAGTCTAAAAGAAAATGCAAAATAATCACTATCACAACCAACTCCTCTCTGTGCCTGCACCCCCCGCCAAACACACACACACACACACACACACACACCTACACACATCCACCCCACCCTTTTTGAACCTGCTGCTTGTAGAAGCATAAAACCGGATCATATGTTGTGAGATATATGATCAGGTGTGTTAGGCATTAACCATATGGGCTCATAATGTGTCTGCGCGCGCTCTTGACGATTTATGGATTCACCGACAGAACTGTATGCATTTGAGTCACCGCAGAGCCTGTTGCAGTGTGAGTGATTCACAGGAGCTCGTCATTCCTCACGCCAATCTTGGAGGCAGTGCTGAGATCACAAATTCAAAAAAATAAAATAAAGTAAAAGAACTAATTTCCAATGCATTTCAACCCATTAAGATTAGAAAAATAGATATTAAATATTGAAATAGGTGCTGCTAATCAGTGATAAAAACAAAGCAATTGAACAAAATGGCTCTCTTTTTTTAGCCTTTCTTATTTTCCAAGATGTTAAGTCTACCATCAAATTTAGAGACTGTGAGCTCTTTTTTTTTTTTTTTACATTTTTGTGTTTCTAAGCATTGCCACAGCTTCACTTTATTGTTCAATGTTGGATGACCAAAGGAAAAACAAGTTCAGTTCTAAGCATGATGATGTCTTTATATAATTGTTTGTAGCCTGAAATACCTTGTACAACTGTAAAAAAAAAAAAGATTATACTGCAGCACAAAACTTTTATTAGGCTCACTAGAACATTGTTTAGCAGTTTATCCAAAGGTAAAATGAAATCCAAAGTTGAATTATCAAAATTTACACTGCAAAAAAAGTTTAACTAAATGAAACTTGTGTCTTGCTTTTTTCTTAGAAGCTGTTTAATTATTTGACAGCTTCCAATGACAATTTGTCTTTATCAATTTTAAAGGTGACATTTAGTGCTTTTAAATCATTTTTTTCCACATTTAAATCATTCAGTTGTGTTCAAGCTCCTCTTTCACCCCTGTTCAGAGGTGCGTCTGAAAGCAACTTGTTTTTGTGCTGTCTTTAAATGCAAAAAAGGTGCTTCACACCCTGCCCCACTCAACACCACTAGGCCATTTTTGTAGTCTCATAGCAGAGACATGATTGTCTAGCAGCGCATACATGTTTATTTTCAATTTGTTTTTAAGATGTCAAAATTGGAAAACGGCCATCCAGCCTTGCATGTTAAAGCCAGACTCTGACCCAGGGATAGGGTGAGGAGTTTTGTCATCTGGGGGGAGCTTGAAACAACGCTGCAGCTCCTCTGCATCAAAATAAGTCAGTTGAGGTAGTTTGGGCATCTGCTTAGGATACCTCTTGGATGGTTATCTTTTGAGGTGTTTCTGTCATGTTCCATTGGTCGGAGTGCCAAAAAAAAGCCCCAGAAAAATGGCTTCCTTTATTCCTCTCTCAAACTAACATTACTCTCTGCCAAGGATGAGAACATTTTCATCCCTGAAAAAGTGACAACTGGCATGTAGATAGATGAGTGTAAACTGCAGAGTCCTGTGCTGGCTCATTCTTTTGAATAGGGATGCACGATATATCGGTATTGATATCGGTATCGGCCAATATTGGTAGTTTAGAATATCAGTATCGGTCCGATATGTAAAACTGGGCCGATATTAACATCTGAAATTGACTTCCCACTTTTTATCTTTGTGTTTCTGTTTTGGGAGGGGAGATGGTTGGTTGAGCAGCATCTGTTTGATCACGACAGTGATATTGACGCTGCATAGCCAGCAATAACCAAAAGTAGGGAGCCATGTCAGAGGTCTGGTTGTCTATTTACGGTATCAAAAAAAGACCCAAGTGTGTTTGTGCATATACAGCATGCATAATATAATTTGTGGGTTTGTGTAACATCGGTAAATTTCAGTTATCTGCCATAACAACAATAATTATATCGGATATCGATATCGGCTGAAATTTTCATATCGGTGCATCCCCACTTTTGAACAGTGGTTGCTTTGTTTCCCCAATGTATAACTGATCACAGTCCTACTGACACTTAATATCGTACACAACATTACTCTGTGCCAGGGGACATAATCTTTGGAGTGAAGCAAAGTAGAACTAAAGGAAGCCACTTTTGTGAAGAAAAAATATCTGTCATTAAACAGGGGTGGGGGCCTCCATGTCCAGTTGTCTTTTTAAAAGCAAGCATGGCTCAGCCCTATGTGAAAAATTGGTGATAATCAGAGCCCTAATTATCATCAGGCTGATGATCCTCTATGAAAGAGGGATATTTAGGGCACTCTATTAGGCTGAGGGTCCTTTTTTTGCATGTGGACAAACAGTTTTGATTGTCACCRTTACACTTGTTTGTCCATTACGTGGAAGTGCTAATAAGGCTGAGTTTAACTGAAACTCCTCAGACTGAAGAAGTCTCTTGGAGGAGAGACAAAATGTTTCATTAAAGAAGAACCCATCCAGATGACCTACTTAACTTTTTTTAAGTCAAGGCAAGTTTTGTTTTGTAGCTGAAGATTTCAGGAGGTCAAAGCTTCAAACTGTATGACGGTAAAGATAACATCAGTACCTAGATCTATATATGTACCCTTTACCTCAGTGGAGTAAAAGCTGGATGAAAGGACATTTTATTTTTATGACATATGCTTTAATTCAACAGTCATTTTAGGAATTTCTCAATAAATTGAATAAATCACATATTTTCTACATTTTGTAAACTGCCAAACAGTGTTTATAATAGACTTTTTGAAGTGTTTTACTGACACAGGAGGTTGAACACATTACACTTGAAACAGTATCAACATGTACTCATTTTGTCTGTAAAGCACTGCATGTACCCAAATCATCCAATCCCAGTAGTCATGACCAGAAAATGTGTACTTGTTAGTCATCTCTTTTTCCCACCCCTCTCCAACTTCCTCTCAGGGCCATCTCCCTTCCCACAAGTTTTATGATTTTAATAAACTAACTGAAAAGAAGTACATATTTTTAAAAAAGTTGCTACTTGGACACGTGGATTAAGAGCTGCACATTAACAATTTATCTTCTCTGCTTTTTCCCCCTATCTGTTTTCTATCTTACCACACTTCTCTGCCCAAACCTTTTCACTCTTTGATCTGTCTACATCTGGCTCTGCTTCCCATCATCCTCTCTCCATGCAGGGGATGAAGTGGATCAGCATTATGTCCCTCAGCAGCAAAAGGAGCAAGAGGAGGATTAGAAGGAGGAGTACTTGGAGCAGTGTAGGGGATGGCGTGCTACTCTCCTTGGTCCTGGTGGCGGTGACCACCATGGCCAGCCCTGCAGCGGCGCAAAAGCAGAGAAGCGGCGGCGGTTCGGAAAAAGTGCCGGTCTTGAACATCGCAGTGATCCTGGGACGCACGCGCTACATCTCTGACCGAGACATCCGAGCTCTTTGGAGCAAAGAAGACCCCATCGACGTCAACATGGTCACACTGCTGGTCAACGAGACTGACCCAAAAAGCATCATCACCCACATGTGCGACCTGATGTCGGGAACCAAGATCCACGGCGTGGTGTTCGGGGATGGCACTGACCAGGAGGCCATTGCCCAAATTTTGGATTTTATTTCCTCGCAGACGCTCATACCCATCTTGGGCATTCATGGAGGGTCGTCCATGATCATGGCTGACAAGGTATGTAAAATGACCTGGGTTTTACCTGAAAATGGGCGTTATAAGAAAATGATTGGCAAATGGATGTTTGATTCCCAAGATGTATGCTTGAAGCATTGAAATGCAATGATATGGAAAAAATGGTGTAATGAATGATAAAGATACATTTTTTAATTGATTGAAAGTCAATTGTCAACATGTCTCACTTTTATCTTTAAGTATCAGTGGAAAGAGGAAACCGCTAACTAAATGGAAGTCGTTGCACTTGATTGYACCTTGAAAAAAAGCTTGAAGGAAGCAAAGAGGTCTGTACAGATACAAGTGCATTTGGATCACAAGAATGCAAACATGATGCTCCTATTTTCTTTGTTTATACATCATAGGAGACATTATGTTAAGGCAAAATTAGAACAAAATATCTAAAGTGATGTGAGTGGGTTAAAAGTGAGGCTTTGTTGATTGAAAAAACAAGCTGAATGCTCACCAATCACCTGTCTCATTTAAAAATGTGTGAACACGACCACTTCTTGTACTTATAACATAAATGTTTACATTTATAAGCCTTGCACACTCACGGAGTTCATTTGGGACTGTGAGTGGGAAAAAAAACTATGTAGGTTTGATAACCCACAGAGAGACATCACAATCATCTAGGTCAACAACTACAGTGTAATACGACAGAAGAAAAGGTGCTGGAAGGATGAGGTAAGTTTCCTCAGGAAACTGCTGGAGYCGTATGAGGTATTTGACAAAGTGGCAGAGAACAGGATGAAGAGAAGAAGAGTATTTATGAGTAAAGACAGAAGAAATTAAGAAAGGAATTTGTGTTATGACCAAAATGAGTTACGTGGTCTGAGCTGTGATTTCGGAAATTTTCACTGATCCCTCAACAAGGTGCAAAAGGCTTGATTGGTTTCCTCATTTAAATAGGCAAAGCCTCTTTGCCTGCCAATCACATTGAAACGAGAATGGGGAAAAAATGAGCGGTGAATGATTGTGCGGACTCGGGCACCACTGATGAGCTCCTTGAATTCATCATATTTCACAATGGAGCCATACTTAAATCAGTTATTTGCCCAGATCAAAGAGGGCTTTCTTACAGGGATGGCTAAGGGAGGAAAATTAACCTATGATTCACATTTAAATCAAATTCAATAAAAAAATTTCAATTATTTGTGGTAAATGAATCTTGGCAAATAGGCAAAAGTAGGTCAGTTAAAATCTACTTTTGTAAAGTAAAGACATGTAATTTTATACTATAGAATTTATTAAATCAAGCATTGCTTTAGGGGTAAATGATTCACTAACTTGTGAGCGTAATCTCTGTTGTGGTAGAATATTGACCCAATCCAACCCCATCCAACAGTCACTTCAGTTCTAAACAGCTTACAACTTCTGTTTAATGGGGGAAAGATGTGGAGCTTGTGCAAACAAATCATTACCTTATAAATAAAGTAGCATTTCCTTTAGAGAAGCTTTGCCAGAGTTGAGGAGAGAAGAGGACTCATCAACCACTACAAGTATAGTAGAAACTTTTAGGCTTTATGGCTTCTACTAAAAACATCTAAACTTTGCTACAAACACACACACACACACACACACACACACACACACACACACACACACACACACGAGCCAAAGAGAAGGTAACATTCATCTGCAGACTGCATACACAAAATTTGTGGTTGTTGATGATCTTTCCCGAACAGGAACATACTGTATAAATGTGATGCCTTTGTTTTACAGTACTGTTATGCATTTGTTGTACTATACTAGATGTGTGTGTGTGTGTGTGGGGGGGGGGGGCTCTTTTGTTTTCCCACTCAATGCTTTTGCATTATCTTGCAGTACATTTTGCATTCCCACACAAAAGTTAAACGTTTTGTAAGAATTGTATTGAATGCAACTTTTTCTTTGAAATATCCAGTTACCAAAACAGGATGTGTCCTCACAAGTTAGGGAAACTGACAGTGACCGGCGTGGTTGCATAGAGTTTAAATATTTGCATATTACATATAACTACATTCCTGGTTGTGATGCATTCATTCTGAAGCTGAGATAAAGTAGTAGTCTAACTCCTGTTTAATGCTGAGCATGTGTTTGTTAATAAAATGTCAGGGACAACAGAAATAAACAACTTTTGCAAGTGAACGCAAAAGAAAATAATTCCCCCCATGTCCCCTAGCGAGCATTTGCAAATAAAGTCTTGCTGATTTCTGATCGCTTCGACTGGAGAAATGTTTTCTGATTTTAAAACTTTGGCTAAAGTGGTGCTTGTTCTTCCAACAGTGTCGCAGCAGAGCGTGGGTTTAACTTAAGAACCACTGGCACCTGCAGATGTCTGGCTGTAGACTCACTGTGCATACCGTGAGATTTTCCTTAGAATTAAAAAAAAAATATATATTTTTCATAATTATTAGACTTTTTATTGCATAAATAAAAACCCATATTCTTTTTCTGTTTTTATTTAATAATATTTTCAACATAGTGGCAGCAGTGCGTTGTAGCTGACTGTATCGCCTTTCTCTCCTCTGTTCTCCTCCTGCTAAGGAGGCAGAGACAGAAATAAGAAGGCATTATCTAATGCTGCAAACTGCAGCCACTAAATAAAATTTGTAGATTGTTTATTTTCTTTCTTTTTTTTTACTTTTCGTAAAGTAACTGAGTCAAAAGCGGGACATGGTGTGTGCGTCACATTGTGCACGTTGGGCCTAGTGTGGGACAGATGAGCTGTTTTTCAGCACCATGCGCTCATGTGGCCTGCATTTGTGTGTGGTGCACTGATGAGATTTTCTCCGATAAAATCCTGCAGGCGCCGCATCCGAGGTAGAACTGCAAAACCAACATGGCAATAGCCACATTCTCTTGAATGTTTAGTCATTATCATTTAAAAAAGTAAGTGACGGGTAAAAATTTATCATGACTGATTTTTTTTTACCCTGTCAGTCAAAATGACGGACAGCAAAATAGTCTAGCTCAACCTCTGGTGCAACATTTTCTGTGAGCTGAAATGGCTGAGAAAAGACACAAATGTAGGCTGGCAGTTTTCAGGCTCAGGGTACAGTAGGGGGCGCTCGTRAGCTCAGACATTGCATGAGCTGCAGAAGAGGTCACTCTGAGCTGCAAGACAAGTAACAGAAAGTTATAGTTAGCAAGCTAAGTGCAGTGTTTTTGGTACCTGCTTTGTAAACATTCAGCTAATAAAGTAAAAACAAAAAGTAACGTTCAACTATATATATA